CTGCCTATAAGTTCATCATGGGGGCACAGAAGGGAATTGGTGAGGCTTTACTCACCAAGGTGCCCCTGGGGGTTACAAGAAATAATGGCCACAAGCTAGCAGAGAGCAGATTTAGACTAGACATTAGGAAGAACTTCTTCACAGTTGGAGAGGCCAAGGTCTGGAATGGGCTCCCAAGGGAGGTGGTGCTCTCCCCTACCCTGGGGGTCTTCAAGAGGAGGTTAGATAGGCATCTAGCTGGGGTCATCTAGACCCAGCACTATTTCCTGCCTATGCAGGGGTTCGGACTCGATGATCTATTGAGGTCCCTTCCGACCCTAACATCTATGAATCTACGTTCATCGTTACAGATGAAGGCAGGTGCTAAAAATAAGGCAGTTTTCTATAAGTGTATGCCCATCAATGCTTTGCAATGAAAAGACTGAAATATTGCTACACACAAATTCTTTTTATGTAAAAGCTTGAGTGTCCCCAGTCCTTCCTCTTGCAATGTTGTTTTCTTATGTTCCACAGTTGGAACCTCCTACCTTGACCTGTGCTTTTGTTCTTCCAAACTCTATTTCTATGACAGCATCCAACCTTTTCAGAGAATTCAACCTTAGTTTTATCTGGGGAGAGGAAGGCATAGGTACCATCTGCACATTTCATGCATGAGGCCATGTAAGTTAGCTGTGCAAGATTTTTTATATTATGTGGGGATTTCATGATGACCTTTTCAAGTCCTATCCAGAATCCAGCACAATCTTTTTAGTGCCTGAAGTCTTACCACATTAAACTTGTATTTACATATGGTACTGAACTGATTTAATTACAGACCGACTCAAGCATAATAGCATTTCTATTCACTGAAGTATATTTTTCAGACATAAATAGCATTCCTTGGGCAGAGAGGTGTCTCTGAAGTCCTGTCTCCAGCAACATAAGGTTTTAAATGTTAACTAAAACAAACATCTTTAACTCCACCTAGGGACAGGTGGCAGATCCCAGACCTATGATATCATGTCTTGACTGTATGACATGCCATGTGATAAGTAGACTGCTGAAATCTGCGCTGGTTTTATTTTTTGAAAAGTCTCAGAATATTGTGTACATTAGAGCTAGACTAAATGTTACTTTGGAAAATCATTTGTTTTGACAAAAAATACATTTGG